ACACCAGACAGAATGACTGCTTCAGGTAACTACATGCCCACCCCTTTCAATTATTTCTAGTCACGTTTTTTAGATAATTGACCCTAGGTTATGAAATACTTTCAGTCAAATGCTGATCAAGCTGAGAAAACAGTAACATAGGACCACTGGGTTGATGTATTAGGGGAGCCTCCTGGGAGCCTGGGTTTACAAACAATAACCACATTGATTCCTGAATCTTGTGTGGCCCATAACGCACCTAGGGATGGAGGGAATATTAGGGAACATTCCCAGCCTTTCGCAGACCTACTCTATCAGCATGGGCATCTTCACAGCATTTTTCAGGTGGCTATAAGCACACTGAGGATGGGCTAGAGCAGTGCTATTAGAAGCCCAGAATGGTCCAGCCCTTCCTCTTTGGTTGTGTGTCCCTTTTCTGCCTAAGGATGTTAGGAGACAAGGGGCTAGGGTGGAGGTGGGGGTGGGATACAGGATAGGAGTGGGAAAAGGAAACTGAGAAAGGCAGAGATGGGATATTCTGACTGCTTCACCTTGCAAGTAGACAGAAGACGGCCTATGGATAAGTCTGAGTCTAGGGAGACTGTTCTACCGTGTTAAAACTTCATTCATCAAGACGGGCACAATTACTATAATTCCAAAGAAAATACCAGGTGGCAAAGCCCAGTTGTGAGGAAGAATCCAGCCTCCACAGAGGGACTTGGTAACAAGCAAAAATATAAGACCAGTCAAAGCTTGTTGGAAGGGTGTACTCAAAAAGTGACTCAGCTATTTGCCGAATCCAGCCAGCCACCTGCTCTCCATCCCTGTGCTCTCGACTGAACGTAATCATGTGGTGACCGTGGCAGTGAACGAATGTGGTGTTGTATTCTGACATCTGTTTTCAACACATGGTGACCTTATTTCTAATTCTGATGGCTTCTGGTGGCAAATCTATAGACCAAATCTTAAACAGCCTCATTCCCTGGATAAAAGGCTGCTTTGCAGCCAAAAACTGGACCTGTATCCTATCTACAGCCACAAGTTTTGGTGCTGACACTCTATGAGCTTCAGGAAACTAGTTCATCTTAAACTTCACTGGCTCATGCCTCAGATGGGGGTAATTTGGCACCCAGAGTACTTCAGCCTACCACACAGCAAGCAGTCTTTAAGGGCTAGTTATTTCCACAGAGCCTGGAGAAGCCTTAGATTCATATAGAATCTAAGTAGGTGTTTTGTAAATATTGTATTAATGTTGATTTCTCTGTAGACAATAAAACAACTGAGCCTACCCTAAATATATATCATGGATTCTGACTAATTTCAATGCCACCATACACCAGCCCTAGAGAGGCCACAATTTAATTTTTTTACTTATTACATTAATTTATTTATTTGTGTATATGTGTGTTCGGGGATGGGGGTGTGAACGTGCCATGGTGCACATGTGGAAGTCGGGAGACAATTTACAGATGTCGGTTTCCTCCTTCCACTATGTGGGACTCAGGGACTGAACTCACCAGGAGCTTGGCAACAGGCACATTTACCCACTGGGCCATCTCAGTAACCTTCCATAGTGTATCTAAAATCATTAATCACTTTTATCCAGGAAGTAATACTGCCTAAAGGTGGGCACTTGGTCATAGTAAACTTACCTATCTAGGCTGCTGTGAAATTAATGGTGAATTTGCAATTTCATTTTATAATGATAAAATATAAATTCCTTTAGAAAAAGAAAGCCTTCTGCTGCTTTTGTATTGAATGTTATGCAACATGGTTTAGGATACCTTACTGTTACTATTAGTGTAAAAAATAAAGGAATTAACCTGTTCTGCTATCAAAGTTGCCCAAAGAGATTCTGTATACTTTTGAGAAAACTGGACTCTATTCACTTTTGAGCAATAACTCAGCCAGTCTTACTGAGATCCTATGAAGACATGATTCAGTAAAGAGAATTTAAGGATGAGATTTCATACACATCATTTAAATCCTGCTACCACTGGGTATGAGCCCCATGGCCTTGCCTAAGTTACTAAAGTTGTGTCTTTTTCCACCTTCAAAATGAAGAACTCAGTATCTTGGAGTCTTAAGGCACAGAGCTGAGAACTGCAAGACTTTGGCATATAAGATGTATACCATATGCACTGTGCAAAATATAGCCACTTAAGCATAAAATCATACTATCATTCTGTCGGTGTAAAATTTAAATTTGCCCCCTGACCTCTGGCTATGAACAAACCCTCTCTCAGGAAAAATCAGGAACTGATGAAGTCAAGATGAAATTGTGAAAGAATAAGGGAACAATAAATTCCATCTCTTCCAGGAGTAGCAACAATGCTAAGTCCTCTGGGCATCTTGGGAGAATTTTCCAGGAAAAAAAAAAAAGCATGCAACTCCTCAAACAGGTCCAATATAGTATCACAATAAAACATGGCTGTTTATACAAGTTCTAAGAAAAACCAGGCAGAGTACTCATTCAACTGGCTCAGACCACTCAGCTGAGGTGTGACAAGACATAGTGGAAACCCCCTAGTTAGCAGAGATCAGTCATGTTCCATGGACCTGACACCTTACTAATACAGGGATGTTTTTTGTTTTTTGTTTTTGTTTTTTTTTGTTGTTTTGGGTTTTTTTTTGTTTTGTTTTGTCTTTTTGTTTTGTTTTGTCTTTTTGTTTTGTTTTGTTTTGTTTTGAGACAAGGTTTCTATGTATTGCTTTAGAGGTTGTCCTGGAACTCTCTCTGTAGACCAGGCTGGCCTCAAACTCACAGAGATCCACCTGCCTTTGCCTCCCAAGTGCTGGGATTAAAGGCATGGGCCACCAACACCTGGCTACCCAGGGATGTTTAATTTGGTTCTGAACCTATGTTTTTTCCACTGAAGAAACAGCAAATGACTTTAAAAACCAGATTCCCCACTTCTCACCTGTGGTAGAGTCAAGATAAGCAGAAAAGAAAATGGAATTTCTGCCAAATACCCTAGAATCTAACACAGCTATACACAGGCTAAATATTTCAGGAAACACGTTTTTTCGGACAGTTATTTCAAAGAGATAAGCCATTAATCTTAGTTTTCTAACTGATCCAGGATGTTAATTCTAAAATAAAACCTTTTACCACCTCAGCTTGCAGCCCTAGGGACCATAAGCCTCTTCCTGTAGTGGCAGTTTCTTCTCTGGCTGCCCAGGGTAAGATCCAAAGTACTTCCTGTTTTGCCTTAGTGTGGCTCTGTGTTAAGGATGAAAGTACCTTTGAAGCCCTTCCATTTTGGTGGGGAATCACTGGGTGTCCCGGTGCAGACTCCAGGCTGCCCCATAGGATGTCTTCAGGCATTTAAATCTGGGTAGCTCTGGTAATGTTATCTCACATCTCAATTTGCCGTTTTTTCCAGACTCCGGTGTATCACAACACTATCTCTAAGAAACCAGCCCTCCATGAAGAAGTGTTTGCACGTGGCATCTCCTTACTAAAATACTAATACTGCTGCAATCCTGCTTTCTGGAAGGATTGGTGCAGTGCCTAGGGTGACAAGATGTTGGTTGCCCTTTAAGATAATGGGAGAGCGAGCACTGGGGACCCCTAGCTGGGCAGACCCAGCTTCCAGTGAGCTTGATACTAGACACCTCGGAAGCTACACTAATGTGAGCCGGTGTGGGAGACCGAAGCACACCGGAGGCGACGGGCCCAGCATCACGTAGGCTCCCATGCCGGGCGGGGCGGTGCCCTAAGCCCCAACCTGCCGCACTGGCGCCGGCCCCGCCCCTCTCAAGGGCGAAGAGAAGGTCATCCGTAGGTTGGGCGGAAGGCAAGGACAACCGGCTCCAACCTAAGCCTCCCATTTTGTGCTGGCTTAGAACCAGAAAAATAAAATGTGACATTTGGACTCATCTAGGGCAGAGGGAAGAACGGAAAATCAAAAGCAAAACCCAGTTCAGGGAACTGTCTGCTGTCCGCGCTAACCTCAAGGCTTGGAAAGCATCTACGCTATGGAAATGTAGGTCTAACTTTTAGAGGGTGTCCCCATCTAGGAATTAGCATTGAAACCTTCACTGTCTGGGAAACCCAGTCTCCACCACGTGTACGAAGGGCTAGAGGCCGGGGTTTGATGTGGCACCCCCATCGCATTTACATCTTAAATGTTCTTAGTTTTTCAAGTCCACACGTTCTGGAATCTGGTCTCTTTAGCTCTGAAATCAACCTCGCCACTGGGAGAAAAGGGAAGACTGGAGCCGGTGCTCGAGTGAATGCCGATGACGTCCTGGAGTCCCCGCTTCCTGGTCTTTCCCATCCTAGAGAGGCTGGCGGGGAGGGACTAGTGACCTATTTTAGTTTTCAGTTTTGTCTCGAGCAGGAAGGCGACAGAAAACCTTTTAAAGGATCACCCTAGTGAAAACTACGGGACGGTCAACGCCACACCCAGTGAGCCCAGTGCGTGCCCCCAACCGTGCTTCCCGCAATGCAGCAGCAGGGACGCCGCGTGGGAGGCGGGACTTGACAGGAGGCGCTGCAGGGACCCCGCTGTTTTTCTACGATTCCCAAAGATTGGGGTGGGGCGAGTGCTGTGGCAACTGAGTAGTCGACCTGTACCTAATTTCAGAAAAGAAGGCCTGGCTCTATCATACGACTCAGACACTGGACGACCCCATTGGCTAGCTCAATTGAAAAAAAAAAGAACCTGTGGATGGAAAAATTATTCATGTTGCGAAAGAAGGATCCTACAACCATAGACCACATCCTCTGCACTTCACCCGGCAATGAGGCTCCATCATCTGTGATCGCTCCTCAGGCACCCTAGCTGTTCCTAGTTTAGGGCTGGCTCTTCCTGCTCTGGGTCACCGGTTCGCCTCAGTTCTCATCCGTCATTTTAACCCTTTCCTCTTCTTTCCTCCCAAATCCACATCACCCAACTTTACTCCCCAGCTCTCCCTCTCTTCCCATCCCGATTAACCTCTTCTGCAGCCTTCTCCAATTACCCTCCCCTCCCACCCGGCACAGGAGGCAATCTAGAGAGCCAGTAGGAGCACACCTTGAGCATCCCCGCCGCTGGTCAGGACACCGATGGCCTTGCCATCCCCAGAGAGGTGCTCCAGGTACTTCGGTAAGGAGGCACTGGAGCCCGAGGAGTCCTCGTCGCCCATGGCGAGGTCTAGAGATGCCGACAGCTCCCGCTACGGTGCTCAGTAAGCAGTGAAAACCTGGCCCACGCGCACCAGCCTTGGAACCGCTGCCCCGCCTGCACCCGAAGGAGCCGCCCACGCTCCGCCCGAGCGCCAATGGGCGGTGGAGGAGGGCGGGACTCTCGCATGGGCGGGGCCTGTCGGGTCTAGGACTCAGGCAAGCTGCACTAAGGGCAGGGAGGGTTGGATGGAACCGCGTAGTGATAGGGATGTGGCACCGCTGGCCCTGAGAGGTGGAATCGGATGTGTGGTGCCATCTCTAAACAGGGGGTGCAGGGATCATTGACCGGTGTAGAGGCCGGTGGACGGCAACGCAGCTGTGGGGATTCTTTCGCCAGGTGGGCACGGAGCCGGCTGGCACACCACGTGGGCGCCTAGGCTCGTGGCTAGCCCATTACCCAACCTGCGCTAGCTGTTAAGGTGGCAGTTGAAGAAGTTTGTGCAGCAGCAGAGGCACGCGCCGTGCTTTCAGCCGGATTTTTCCCTGGCCTGACAATTGGAAGATCAGGGCGCTTCAGCCTTTTTTGTTCAGGCTCCGGAATCCACAGGATCGCCCAGGTTTCACCTCCATTCCGAAATCAGGAAGGAAAGATGTGTGAATAGATCAAATCGTGTCACTGACTGTAGAGAAGGGATTGGGTCTGGAAGAATGTTGGAAGGCCATTTTTAGGCACACCCTCAGCAAGCAGGCCTGGGTTCTGGATAATCCCAAATAAACCCAAAAAAAGGTGCAACAAGAAAGGTTTGGCCGGTGTGATAACACAGACATTTCCCATCCAATGGAAGGCCTGCGCTTGCTTTGCCTGAAGGTTCTACTAGAAACTACAAATGTTAAAATATGGGTATACCAACTTGTAGTTGACTATTAGTTGTTTTGGCGGTCCAGTTCCTGCTAAATCCTATGCTGTCGTGGAGTTTCATCTCCAAAGGCATGCAGGTCCCTTCAGCAGTCACCCCAAGAACAAGAACTCAGAAGCAGCCAAACTGGATAGCCCTCAGAAGGGGAGGCAGCACCGAAGCCTCCTTTCTGTGCAAATGATACATGTTGGATACATAGAAAAATGGGAAACAAACTAACAAAACTAAGCAAAGGCAATACAAGTAACAGAAATCAGTCTCTTTTAGAACCACACTAGAAAAAAAGATGGAGGCACACATTTGTATCTTCCAACTCACTCTCTAAGCATCAAACATTTAGAGGAAAAACAAGTGACTGTACACGAGGATGGATGAAGCCTTCCAGAACCCACTGAACAATTCCTAACTCATCAACAGAAGTTGACCATCATTAGGTCCCTCCCCCCACCTTCCAACTTCTGGGAAAGCAGCCAGGAAATACATATTTTAACAAGTTCTCTAGATTATTCTGGTGACTGCTAAATTCAACCAGCAATGAATCTAATGGCTTGATAATGGATTGTTCCTGAGTATCATTTTAAAAGAGAAGAGGAGAATACTAGTGGGTGCCTTGAAAGTGGAGTGGGATGTCCTTGACCTTCCAAAGGCAGTGTGTATCGTTTGGTTTTGGGTTGTTTGTTTGGTTGGTTTGGTTTTTTTTTTTTTTTGAGGGGGTGTCAGAGTCCAAGCACCTCTGCCCACAGAGGTCTCTGCAGCTCAAGGCCCAAGGGAAAGCTCCATGAATCTTCAAAATATGCCTTTCAGGAGCAGACAAAACTCTAAGTCAGTAGCTCCCAGCTTTCCTAATGGTGAAACCATTTAAAACAGTTCCTCATGTGGTAACTCCCATCCATAAAATTACTTTCGTTGCTACTTCACAACTGTAACTCTGCTACGGTTATGAATCATGATGTAAATGTCTCATTTGCAGTATCTCTGATATGTGACCCCTGTGAAAGAGACATTTGACTCTCAAAGGGTGCCCATGGCTGCTGGCTGTATCTCTCGCTACAGTCCTCTCTGCCTGTTTTGGGTAATGGCTGCTCACACCTGTGACAACCATGCCTAAGCTCATATTTCTTCAGACCCAGTGCATACACCTTTCTTTGGGCTTCCTTGTCTCCCTCCTGGTATCTCTATTATCCCAGGTGTACAGACTAAAGTCTTGGGGGTAATTGTAAAGTCCTGACATCTAAGACCAGGAGGACATCCTAGAATGTTCTGGTTTGCTCATCACCTTGCTACCACTTGAACTGTACAAGTGTTAGTGTCCCAGTCTCAGTAACAGTTCCCTTTCTGGTCCCTATATTCTGCCTTTCCTCTACCTTCCTGCTGTGTATCTTCAACACAGATGTCAGCATGCATCCATTGAAATGTAATTTAGGGGTTAAATGCTATGCAAACATGAGGACATGAGTTCTATCCCCAGCAAAGTGTAAAATGGGTGGGCATAGTGGCACAAGCTTATAATACCAGCTCTGGGAGACTGAAATAGACACATCCCTGGAGGGGTTCTGGCCAGTCAGCCTAGCCAAATAGGTGAGCTTTAAGCCAGAGAGGCTGTCTCAAAACAAAGTGGAGAACATCCTAGGGAATGACACAACAGAGGTAACCTTCACACACAGGAGCCTGCACATAATATGAAAATGCACACACATACACATGCGAAAGTTTGCTTTGTTTTGTTTGCTGATATAAATGCAGGGCCTTGTCCCTGCACCAGTGATACCTGTTCACTCAGAGCCAAAGCTTTCGCTCCCATTGGGAAAGCATCCAGCTTCCCTGTAGTCTGTCCCCTTTGGCTGGCCTGGTTACTCTTCCAAGACCCCCAGTCCTTGAGGCCCATCCAGCCTCCCAGCCTCTGTGCCTGCTCTTTTCTGTCACAGAAGCTCTCCTTATCCACACCCTGCCTCCTAGCCTTGGGGCCTTAATCATGGTCACCTTTTGGAAACTGTGACTTCAACACAGATCCCTCTCTGTTTCCCTCCAAAGGACCAGTTAGCCAGTCACATATACCTCGTGTTCACTTCACCTGCTTACTTTGGATTTTTGGCAGGTTTTTTTTCCACTGGGCTTCAGGTGCTATGAGCACAGTGGACTTTGTCATTTATAACTGCTGCCCTGGATCCTCCAACAGGGTCCAGATAATCCAGGAGCACATGTTGACTGAATGAATGAGTGAAATGAATGAAATGGATGAACAGATGGGCACATTTATCTCTTACAGATAGAAGGAGAAATGGTGCTCCACCTATAAATGTCACAATTGCCATGGCTGAGGAAAGAGATTGGCATATACTTGGCAGAAACAGATGTATTCTCTCAACATGTGGCTTTCTTTGTGCCTCTGACAACCACATTTCATAGGCAGCGGCTCTTCATGGACTATTAAAGATATTTCACACATTTAGGGATACTTCTGGCTTTCTTTTTACATCATTTCCCAGTCCTGGGATCTTCCACTTGTGTTCTTACAGAACCATATTCTATTACTTAGGAATCATCTCGAGTTAAAAGAATCGACGTGGGATGGAATGAAGACAAGAGCAGGATGGAGTAGAACTCCAAAGCCTCCTCCTCTTCCCCACCATCCTCCTCCTCCTCACTTGAGTTACCCTGTGTGCCTAGGCTCAGTTACATCAACACAAGCATTACCAAAGCTGCGGTTGCTAAGGAGAGCCCCCTTGGCTCCCAGCTCTGCCCTCCCACCAGTGGGCCAGACTTCCTAGGAACCAAATTGCGCCTCCACCCTGCTGGCCTGGTTCCTCTTCTTCCAACCATCTGGTGGACTTTAGACTCCTCTGTAGGCAAAGTCATACAGGCACCCTCCCAGGCATCATGCCTTTCCCTCCTCCTCATGTCCTTGTCCTTTTCCTTCAGATTTGGGAAAGTTTAGGAAGAAAGGAAACCATGTGCTAGCCTACAAATTTTTTCCTTCAACCCATGCCTTCCCTGCCCACTCCCTTTCAGACCCCTGGACCTTATTTAGTTGCCAAACTAAGTTGTGTGTTTGGATGCTTTTTGAGAGTTTGAAGCAGATCTATGATGTACTGAAACAGTATCTAGAAACTGGGATGAAAGGAAATTAAGATGTCACATTATTTTGTAAAGCTCCCAATCATTATTAATTTTAATTTCTCTGTACTAAAGGCTCTTCTGAAGAATGTTTTTTTCTTTTCCTTAGTACTTAGGTCAATCAACAAAGACCACCTTTTCTTCCAGCACCCAGTGAAACAAGTAAGCAGCAGCAAGCATGGTGTCAAAGTGGAAAGAATGGACTTGCCCCTTCAGGGTGTTTTGCTAATAACTAGTGGCACTTAGAAAGTGTAGAGTGATAATTTATTGGAAAATAAGCTACATTTATTTCCCTGGTAGCAAAAGAGCTCCTTTGGGACTTTAACTTAGAATTTGAAAACACAGGGGAGACTATTTGGGAACAGGAAGAGGAGCCAGTAGCAGGTGGGTGGGGTGGGGCAGGAGTTGGTGAGTATTGCATGAGGATAAAGTGAGTATTGCATGAGGAGAAGGTGAGTATTGCATGAGGAGAAGGTGAGTATTGCATGAGGGTAGGTATGCAGTTTGGACAACAGAGTGCATGCCTAGCATGCCTCAAGACCTGAGTTCCATCCCCCTACCTGAAAAAAAGGGAATGATGTTGCAGGAGGGGAAGTCAGGAGATCCCCGTCTACATAGTAAGTTTGAGGTCAGTTTGGCCTTCATAAGACCTGTCTAGAGGTGGGTGAGAGTGATGAGCTGGGGAGGTGGATTGGTGGGTAAAGTCCTAGCTGCACAAGCTTGACAAGCTAAGGTTGGACTCAGGGTTCACATAAAAAGCTGATAATGTGACATGCATCTGTAATCCTAGAACACATACAGTAAGAAGGGAGACAGAGTTGAGAAAAACCACCTAACACTTGAGGGTCAGCTAGCCTGGAGTACACAACATAGCAGCAGGAAAAAGATACCATGTTTTAACAAGGTGGGATGAGAGGACAGACTCCTGACAGTTGTGATCTGACTTTGGTATGTGTGAGAACATGTGTGCACACACACTCACACACACACACACACATTTAAGAAAATACATTCATAAAATCAAAGTACATTACGTGTATGCATGAGAAAGTCACAATGACACCCATCATTTTGTAC